ACTAGCAAAAATGTTTGGAGTTTCCTTTAAAAATTACAAATGGATCTGCCTTGGGCTTTGACTAGGTGGTTCAGTTGGTTGGATCATTGTCCCATACACCAGAAAGTTTGTGGGTTCAATCTTCAGTCAGTTGTGTATGGGAAGCAACTGCTCCATGTTTCTCTCTCACATTGATGTTTCTCTCCCTACCATCCATTCCCTTCCTTCCTTCCTTCTCTCTCCAAAGAAATCAGTTTTAAAAAACCACATACCTTTGGGTGAAGATTTAAAAAATTAAAAATATATAAAAAATGAAAATGGATTTGCCTTAATGACCCAGCGATTCCACTTCTGAGTATATATCTGGGGAAAAACAGAACACTAACTTATAAGAATATATGCATCCCTATGTTCATAGCAGCATTATTTACAACTAGAGGTCCGGCACACAAAATTTGTGCAGGGGGGGTGCAGTGGGGGTGGGGGGAGACACCTTGAGGGATGTACAACTGCCCATTTAGGCCTGATCCTAGTGGGATCAGGCCTAAATGAGCAGTCAGACATTCCTCTCACAATCCGGAACTACTGGCTCCCAACAGCTTTCCTGTCTGCCTGCCTGATTGCTCCTAATTGCTTCTGCCTTCCAGCCTGATCACCCCCTAACCACTCCCCTGCCAGCCTGATCGATGCCTAACTGCTCTCCTGCCAGCCCAATTGCCCCCAACTGCCCTTCCCTGCTGTCCTGGTAACTCCTAACTGCACTCCCCTACTGGCCTGGTTGCCCCTAACTGTCCTCCCCTGCAGGCCTGGTCACCCCCAACTACACTTCCCTGCTGGCCTGGTCACTCCTAACTGCCCTCCCTTGTTAGCCTGGTAGCCCCTAACTGCCATCTTGTGTCCATATGGGAGTGGCCATTTTGACCACATGGGGATGACCATCTTGTGTGTTAGAGTGACAGTCAATTTGCATATTACCTCTTTATTAGCTAGGATAGCCAGAAGATGAAAGCAATCCAAGTGCCCTTCAATAGATGAGTGGATAAAAAAAGCTGTAGTATATACAATGAAATATTACTTGGCCATAAAAAAAGAATGAAGCTTGGCCGAGTGGCTCAGTAGTTGAATGTCAAATTATGAACCAGGAAGTCATGGTTTGATTCCTGGTCAGGGCACATAGCTGAATTATGGGCTTGATCCCCATGTGAGGCATGCAGAAGACGGCTGATCAGTGATTCTCTCTCATCATTGGTGTTTCTCTCTCCCTTCTTCTCTGAAATCAATAAAATTTTATTTTAAAAAGAATGAAATCTTACCATTTGGTATAGCATGCATGTACCTTGAGGGTATTATGCTCAATGAAATAAGTCAGTCAGAGGAAGACAAATACCATATACTTTCACTTATATGTGCAATCTAAAGAACAAATGAAATGAACAAACAAAATTGAAACAGATGTAGAGACAGAGAGTGAACTGATGAATGCCAGAAAGGAGCAGGGGACACTGGGTGAAAAAAGTGAAGGGATTAAAAAATACAAATTAGTAGTTACAAAGTAGTCACAGGGAAGTAAGTAAAGATTAGGGAATATTGTCAATAATATTGTGATAACTATGTGTGATGCCAGTTGGGGTACTGAAAATATCGAGGGGAACAACTATGTAAAGTATATGACTGTCTAATCACTAAGCTCTATACTTGAAACCAATACAAAATAAAACTGAAAGAAAGAAAAGCTAAGGGTGTTGATCTATATCAGGGGTTCTCGACCCTCCTTGGTCATCACAATCACCTGAGAAGTTTTAAAATAATACCGATGCCAGCCTTTGTGCCCAGAGATTCTGATTGAGTTGGTTTGGAGTGGAACGAAGTATTATTTTTTTAAATCTTCCAATGTGATTCCAATGTGCAGCCAGGGTAGAGAATCCCAGAGCTATGTGATTTTGCAGGTTTCTCCAATGCAGCAGTGCTAGTAGGTACCTGAAGTCTTTGCCCATAGAAGGAAGTTTTAGGAGTTGAAAGCCAGAGGAGCAGCGAGGCCAAGCCATCTAATCCAAGTGTGCATTATCTCAAATGGTGCAGAAAATGTCAACGCCAGTTAATATTTTGCACCCAACATGATTTAGACCCGGGGCATATATTGTACTCCAAGCCCATTGTAAACACAATGGACCATTTATTCACTGAACAGTAACCACTATAATTACCTACAGGGCAAACATATGAGGTTGTTCAAGCAACAATTAATTGTGGACCTGGAACTAATGGGACAATAATGGCAAAGTATCAACCAGAAGTGTGATTCAGAAATCGCATCAGAAAACCAACATTCTCCAAAATGTATTAGGGACGCATTTTGGGGGGGTGTGACGGCACATCCACCATTGCAGGCTCTGAAATAGTTGCTCCCTGGTTTTTCTAATAGCTACTTCTTGTGCTGGTAGCTCTAGGAGGCTCGAATGGCTGTTTTAACATTGAAAAAAAATCATGAACATTGGGTTTTGGGGGACCGCAGAGTTTCTTTTTGTGGAGCTCACTATGGGACCTCAAGATCACATGCATGCCGGAGTGCTGATCTTGTTTGGGTTTTAAGGTCCTCTTTGTGAATCTGATAGAAGCAGTGGATCCTCTTTTTAGAAAAATTTGTGTCTGTCTGCACATAGACACCCACACAAGCTTTTTCCTACAGTGTTTGGGGAGCTGGTAGACATCTTAAAGCCCCTCTCTGTCCTCTCTAGGTCATGATTCAGCCCCTGTTTGCAATACCTCCAGACACAGGGGTCTCACTACTTTAAATAGCAGGCTTTTCGTTGCTGAACCACTCAGAATGCTAGAGTTCCTCAATCTGTCCAGCTGGGATTCTCCTCTCTGTAGGCTCTTCCCATTTGGGCCTTATTGTAATTTTAAACAGCCATGCTATCCTTGACCTTTACCAATCTCGGGATGACGTCCCTGTCTCTGAGGATCTTAAAAATTGGTTCTTATAGGGGCTCTTTAGTTCCAGGTGAGCTGTTTGGTGTGTGTTCAGCTTCACACACCAACAGTGTAGGTGCTGAGGGGACACAGGAGATCCAGGGATCCTAGGTAGTGGCTGTCGGTTCTCTGAGACAGATCAGGAAAAGGGACAAGATTTCCACTGCCCCCACTCTGCCAGAGTCTCAGGGCAAGAAGGCAGAGAGGATGCTTCCTCGGGTTACAAGAGCATCTTCAGCTGGTGCCTGAGGGGGCCAGGATGCTATTTCCTTGGATGCTGAAATTGGACTCTGAGAAGTTTTAGATTTGGAGCTGCTACTGAGAAGTTTGGGACGAAAGCTGGTGGTAGCAAAGAGTGAGCTTGTTTTAACCATACTCTTTTTGGATCAAAGTTTTAAATGAAACAAATGAAGGAAAGAAAGGAATGAACTGAGGGAGGGAGGGAAAGTGAGAGGGAAGAAGGGAAACAGAAGGAAGAAGGGAGGGAAAAATGACAGATTAGAAGAAATCATGAAGCAGTTTTTATAATCTCAGAGTGGGAAATACAACACCAAACCTGAAGACATAAAATTTAAAAGTAGATAAATTCAACCACATTTAAAAAAAAACAAAAAACTTCCATGTGGCAGAAGACACTATAAGAAATATCAAAAGAAAATATATACAAACTGGGAGAGAAATTAGTAACTTATATTACAAAGGGCTAATTTCCTTAATCTAAGAGATTATTTCTACCAGCTGATCCAAAATATGAGTCCAGTTGGAAAATAGGCAAAGGATGCCAATTGCTCTCAAACATAGAAAGAAATACTCACTCTCACTAATAATAAGGTAAATTCAAATTAGAACTATAAGATACCATTCTCCCACAATTACACAGCAAAAATAAAAAAGGTTGATAGGCACCTTCTGTGGATTAGGCCAAGGGAAGGGAGAGCAGAGATCAGAGGAAGTGTTAAGGAAGAGGTGACATTTAAGCTAGGCCTTGTAGAACATCATTAAAATCCAATTTAGCAACTTACTGGCACTTAAAAGAAAAAGAAGAAATAATAAGAGGGAAGAGGAGCAGATTTTACTACTTAGTGTAAATTAAAATACACGCACAAAATGGGAAAGCAAACAAACTGGGATACTTACAGCAACCGGAACAGTCTGAGTTTGAACGTTATACTAGTACATATAAAAGTCTTCATTCAACTCAATAAGAAAAGCATTAAAATACCACTCAGAAAATTAACAAAAGACATGAAAAAGCAAATTCCTGAAATAGAACATACTACTGGTTAATGACCACATGGAAAAAGATAAACATTATGCATAACCAAGGATCGCAACATGATTCCAGTTTTTCAGGGATAAATCATTATAAAGTTAAAATAATGTTTTAATTCCTCTGTTGACAAGAATGTGGTAAAATTGGTTCTCTAATCATACCTGACTAGTGGGTCTATAAATTGATACAATCATTTTTGGAAGTCTTTAAAATCACATATTCTTTATCTGGGAGATTCTATATCACAGACTTTTATCCTATAGAAACAGACTGAAATTTAGAAAAAAACACTTCTGTGCACAAGGATACTTGCAGAGTAATATGGCAATAATGACAAATTAGAAATATTCTAAATGCCTCCCAATTAGAGATGATTCAATAAATGATGTTTATTTACTAGAATATTATACAGGTGTGAAAATGTTTACAAAGAGTTTTTAATAGGATGTCTGAATACTTGTAAGATAATGTTAAATGGATTTTTTTAATTAATATGCATGGAAAAAAACAACAAGAAGGCAATAAACTACAACATTAATGGGGGTTCTTTGATGAGGGGTAAATTATTGGCTCATTTTTTTTCCTTATTTCTCTTTATTTTGCATTTTTTAAATATTCTCTTTCATTATAATGCATTACTTTTATAGTAAAAAGGTTTTAAAATATCTTGCCCTGTGTGTTTTTGCCAAAGTCAGAACTAAAGTTCTCTTCTGCTCCAAAAGATTCTCAGAGCAGTGAGGCCCACCAGTAAAAATGTTCTCTCTTTTGTGTTTTTCAGCTTTCCTTTGCAGCAACCACACCTGTCCTGGCTGATAAGAAAAAATACCCTTACTTCTTCCGGACTGTCCCATCAGACAACGCGGTGAATCCAGCCATCCTGAAGCTGCTAAAGCACTTCCAGTGGAAGCGCGTGGGCACACTAACCCAAGACGTGCAGAGATTCTCCGAGGTACGCTTTGCTGAGGGGTCATGCTCTCAGCTCCCTCTTGGCCGCCGTCATCTCCAGGCAAGGGCATTTGGCTGAATCAGGGATGGGCAGTATCACAGGGCTTTGAAGCAGACATTATTTGCAGGACCAAAGTTGCTTTACCTTTGACAACACAGAGCTGGTGGCTGAGGAATTTGATTGTGCATGGGACAGGTGAAAACCTCCGTCCTAGATAGCTCAGAGTGAACCCTTCCCTTTCATTGTGCCTTTGGCTAACTCCTGTGGCTTATTCCTTCACCGCCCCTATAGGTTTGTTGTCCTTGTTGCTGATGCTGTAGTGACCATCTGAAAATCATGACACGGAGGGAGAGTTTATGAGGGGAAAGTGGAGGACATCTGTAGTACTTGAAACACAAACCAACCAACCAAACAAACAAACAAAGCCAAAATATAAAGTAAAAAATAAAAAATAAAAGGGTTGCTAATTGCCCTAAATCCCACATTCTCTCCTACTCTCAGTTCAGTGTTCATCTGCTCAGTTCTTTTTTATTATATTTATTTAAACTCAATGATATCATACTATAGATTTTATTTGTTTCATTTTGCAACAGATCTTAGAAATCTTGATTGATCTCATTCTTATTAATGGTCCATGGTGTTCTGTCAGATGAATATATGATAATTTATTGAACCAGGCCCCTATGGATGTGTATGGCTTTTTAACTTCGCAGCCAACCCCTTCCCACCGGGCAGATTTCTAGAAGTGGAATTACTGAGTCATTTAAAATAGTGAGATAAATTGACCTCCGGAAAAGCTGTTCTAATTTCTAGCCCCACCAATGTTTGAAAATCCCCATTTCCCCACATCCTTACTAAGAGTGCATATTATCAAAGGTTTAAAAGTGTTCCCACTCAGATGAGGGCAAAATTGTCTCTTGTCTTTCTTCCCATTCTCCTTATAATTCCTACTTTCCTTTCTCCTTGATATGTGGAGCCTTCCAACAACAAGACATTCCAGGTGTGCTTAGCTGCCCAAGAGAAAAACACTGAGCCTTGTAGGGAGGAAAGGGGTGAGACAGATGTCCAGGCCAACCTCAGTGGGAGGAGTTGGAAAGGACCCACCCCTTCCAGCAGGAGGGCAGGGGCAGAAGGGACTGGGAATTAATAGACCTGATTTCCACTCCAGCCTTGCACTTACCTTTCTGAGGCTCTGCCCATCTCTCTCATGGGAGAGACAGGCCACTCTCGATGCACTGACCTTGGAGAAGTCACCTCTCTTCTTTCACCTGTGATTTCCTCCCCTTCAGGATTCTTACCAAAATCAGTCATGGATTTGAAAGAACTTTGTAAACTGTAAAGTTCATGCACAAAGAGGGATGGTTTGGCAGGTGCTTGAAAAACCTAAGTGTTTGGCCCCAACATCTGTGATTTTCCAAACAAGGCATGCTTTTCCCAGGCAAGACTGGCCCTCTTCTTCTCACCTCTCTGCTTCTCAAACCCTAGAGTGAGGCACAAAGGAAACTTGACCTCCAGCGGGAGTGACTCAGTGCCAAAGCTGAAGAGGCTTTTGCTGAAAGGCTGCCCTTTATGCAGGCGGCCACAAATGTTCTGAAATGAGTATGAAACTGGTTGAAGGGGAGGATGGGGAGGGCCAGTCTGTGGCCCCATTAACATGGGATTGTGCAGCAATTTGGAGGGACCTGTCAGAGTCTTTGGCTGTCAGAGCCTGAGGGGCCCTTAGAAACACTTCCCTACCACCCTTATTGTATAAAAGGGGAAACTGAGGCCCAGAGAGGGGATGGGAAAATGTTCAGGGTTTCAGAGCATCTCTGAAGTCATGAAAGATTGTTCACAAAAAACTCAGGACTAAATTCTGGTCTAGACACATTCCAGACGGACATTGTTCCTTCTTTCCATCCGTAACTTCCTGTAGTCACAAGCGAACTGCATGTGACCTGGAAGATTTGAAAAACCTGAAAGCCTTGACCTAAAAAGATTACATTTTCAGTCCTGGCTTGGTTGAGTGCTTTATGGATCCCCTAACACTCTCACAGCCAACCTCCCTGTAGGGAAGAGTTATGGTTTCCATCTGACCGAGGAGGGAATTAAGGCTTGCCTCTTGCCCCCGGGTACATGCTGGTGAAGAGCCCAGCTGAGGCTGGAAGCCGGACCTGGACCTCCAGGGTACTGGTCAGTGTTTTCTCCATTATGCCGTCCCCACCCACTGGGGTCAGGCATTGACAGTTTGGTAGCACATCTCCATCCCTGCACCGCTGTGTGGGGGCTCTCAGCCGGTTTCAGGGCATCAGAGGGAAACCTCCTCTCTGAGGACAGGATGTTGCTTGGTGGTATTGCTGGCAAGAACCCCTTTTGATTTAAATCTCTCCGCCCAGCTGACTCCTCTCTGTGCCCAAGGGCTTTGGCATCCCTCTCCTGATGTCTGGGCTGCATCGCCGGAGTGCGGGCCCTGGAAACTCGCCAGGGCCTAACAGCTTTTTGTGAGTGCAAAGGAAACTGGATTCCTTTTATGAAACTGGTCGATCTGCAGCATCAAGCACTTCTGTTCCGGACTGGTGCACTGGAAGGAATGTCAAATGAAAGCAACCCTGAAGTTGGAGGGAGTTGGGGGGAAACCTCAATCCCAATTAGCTCATTACATTGGGACTGAGAGGGGAAGAGTTGAGGGCCATCCCACCTTGGAACCAGCTGCTCTTTCGAACCCGGAACAACTGAGATTTAAGGCCAATGAGTGGTGACCCAGAGGTTACTCAGGTTTTGGGTCAGATGTGCCAATCTCTAGGCCCAGCTTTGACACCAGGCAATTCACTTCACCTGAATGAGAGCCTCGTTTCCCTTCTGTAAAATAGGGAGATTTAGTCCCACCTCACAGGCACTGGGAAGTGAGAAAAAAATAAATGAAAGACTTTTGCATACTTGGTGCTATTAAGTGGACATTCTCTTTGCCACCATTCATGAGACAGACTCTAGAAATGCAAATCCATTCACTTAAAAAATAATGATGTGGCCTGTGATGTGCCAAGCCCTGAGCTGTCGGGGGCCAGAGAGGAATGAACATGGCCTTGAGGTCAGTAGGTCATCAGGCCTCCTTCATTGGAGTCTCAACTCTGGCTGCTCATTGGGATCACCAGGGGAATTTATTTTTAATACAAAAAATATTTTAAATTTTATAACTTGGGTTTTTTCCCTTCCTTCTTCCCCTGCCCACACTTTTAACAGCTTTATTGGGATAATTTATATCACATACAACTCATCCCATTGCTAACACATAGTTCAATTATTTTTAGAAAGTTTAGAAAGTTTAAAAAAGTTTATGGGCAGCCATCGTCACAGCCCAGTCTTAGAACACTCCTGTCACTCTAAAAATTCTCTCATGCTCGTTTGTCATCAATCCTATCCCACCCCAGGTTTTGTTTGCTTGCTCTATAGTTTTGCCTTTTCTGAAATTTCCATATAATTATATAACCAGTATTTTTTTGTGCTTGGCTTCTTTTTAGCACAGTGTTTTTGAAGACTATTCACGTACACATATCCGAAATTTGTTTCCTTATACAGCTGAGTAGTTTTCCCCTATAAGGATAGGGTACATTTTTTAATCAACAGGGGGGCTTTACAAATCCTGGAGCCCAGGCCATCCCTCAGAACAGTTACATGAAATGATCCCAGCATTAGAACCCCTTTAGGCTTTCTGGGTGATTTCAATGCTCTGTCCTCCACCACTGGCTCAGGAATACAGGGTGGGAATGATGCCCTCTGGTGATGGGAGCCCTTGCACTGAAAGTCACCCAGTCTGCTTGGCAGTGTGACTGTCTTCCGCAGTCCGGTGGCTGTGGAGTAGGATGGAGAAGGTGGAGAATAGCCTTGCCACAGCACTGGGACTCTGCCAGGCGGAAGACAGAGCGGATGTGGGAGATTGAGGGTGCTGCTGAGAGGGTGGTCCATGGGCCCCAAGATGGAGCAGGGTAGGCAGGAAGGTGAACTGTGGGCTTGGAAGAACTGAAGCCCTGGGAGTCTCTCACAAACTTGGTGATGTGGGGGTAAGGGAGCTGGAAGGAGGGGAAGCTGTGGTCATAGCTGGAGGAGGATGTAGGGATTGAAGAGCCAGGCCCTGCCTGTATGTGAATAGCTAAAGCCAAGTGACGGTAGAGATCACCAGGGGCAAAGAAGTCAGAGGCAAGAATGCTGAGTGACATCCATGTGGGCACTGCAGACACAGGATGGAGGTAGGGTTGGGTGGCGAGAAAGGCAGTGAGCACCAGTGTCTGGAAGGACCAGCAGAGAGTAACAGGGTATTTAGGCCTCTCCCCTCAGTTCCAGGTCCCATCATTGATTCTTCTGACTGCCAGTTTTTGATGCAATTAAACAACTCTGTATCCTGGAACAAATCACTCAGTCTCTCTGGGACTCGGTTCCCCCTTCTATATATAAGTTAAGGGAGATGGGCAAATTGACTTTAAAGTCATTATTAGCTTAGAGAATTTGTGATGAGGACTTAGAGAGATCTGGTTGATGACCTTAATCCTGCCATTCCCGAGGGTGTAACCATGAGAATGATTTACCTCTTTATGCCTCCATTTCTTCATCTTGAAAATGGAGATAATGACAGTGTTAACTAACTCTTAGGGTTATCATGAGGATTAAATGTGCTCAGAAACCTAATGTGCTAATAGAAGTGCATGGCTCATAATAAACACCATGCACAGGGTAGCTGTTATTTTTTTTATCACCTAGAATCTGGGTCCTTAGTGCCTAGCTGACCTCCATTCAGGAGCCCAGGGTGAGGCTCGGTTTTGTACCTGCCACTAGCATCACTTCCCTCCTTCCCCACCCTCCAAGCTGGCGTGGAGACTCCCTGACAGCCACTTGTCCTCAGTGATCTGGAGCTTTCTGGGGCTGACCTTTCCGTGCCAGAGGCCTCCCCCACATGTTGGAACCCACTGAGGCCCTTGATCTGTCCAAGACCAAAAGGGCATCATCTGCAAGAGCTTCTTCTTCAAAGCACG